TTAATCTCTGGTTTTATATAACTCCTCTTATCCTGCTTCCATGTTTCTCAGACAACTTCTCATTCCCATCTGGATCTCCCACTGACCAAGAATAGGATGAGCCCATGGACTCCACGTGTTTCCAGTCCTTGAGCAGTGATTGTTCATGGCCAGTGGACAAAGTGGCTTTGGATTGCTTGGCTCCCAAGCAGTCTGACAACAACCAGAGAAGGCTTGGAGCATGTCAGTATGAGAATTTCTGGTCTGAATGACAGATACATTTGTCAAATTGAATTAATAAGCGTCATTCTGGCAGCCACCCCAGTCTCCTTTGGGTTTTGCTTAGTGTGAGCTAGTGAGTTAAATCAATCTTGGTTTATATTTATTAGGTAAATAGTAATACTAGCACCTGAGCAGGACACTGTGGCTCACGCCTGTAATCCCAGCACTTTGGGAGGCCAGGGTGGGCAGACCACTTGAGGTCAGGAGTTTGAGGGCAGCCTGGCCAACATGGTGAAACCCCGTGTCTACTAAAAATACAAAAATGAGCTGGGTGTGGTGGTAGGCGCCTGTAATCCCAGCTGCTTGGGAGGCTGAGGCAGGAGAATCGCTTGAACCCAGGAGGCAGAGGTTGCAGTGAGCTGAGATCACACCACTGCAGTCCAGCCTGGGCAACAGAGACCGACCCTGTCACAAAACAAAAACAAAAATAAACTAGAATCTAAAACAGAAACAGCCTACATCCTAGTGATTTAACAATAAAGGTATGATTCTCACTCGTGTCCTTATATTCCAGTCCTTGCAGGGTAAGTGAGGACTTGTAGTAATTCAGTGCTACCTCCTCATTGTGTCTTCTTTAAGCTTGAAATCATGTGGAAATAAAAGCAATTTTGCTTTCATGTGGAAGATAAAAGGGAATGGATATGGGAAGTGGCCCACATTGCAGACACCCTTGTGCTCCTGGACAGAATTTTGTCCCATGGTCACTTCAAGCTGAGGGAAACTGGAAAATGTGGTTGAGCCAGATGCTTGGGAAAGGGAGAACTTGGAAATTGACCATCCTAAGTGGTCTCTGCCACATAAGGACACAATAAACTGACACTCTAGATCCTTCTTTGGGCAATACTATGGCCACTTCCAGACTCTTCCTTCCTGACACTGATTGCTATACCTGAACCAAGAAGGGGTTGGTGCATGTTCATCAAATAAGTGAATAGAACTTTTGACTCTTCTCAACTATTGGGCAAGCTTTAGCCGTTACCTCTAAGTGGATGTCCTCTCGAATAACTTCCTCTCTTTTCTCTCCTCCTGAGCTCCAACCTTACATTCCCAATTCTTTCCTGGGTACCTTCACATGAGGTTCAACCATCCTTTCAATTCAATATGACAAACCTAAGCTCAGCAAGCTCTTCCTGGGCTGAGCTTTGTTTTTCTTACACAAGGCCTAAGGCAAGAGCCTTATCTAACTCCGGTTTCTATTCCTCCAAGCATCTAGTACAATTTTGCATGCTAATAGTCATCTTTTGAATAAATGTTTCTGTTGTGGAATTATGTATTTAAACTATGCTAACCTTAGATTAACAGAAAAAAATGTAATTTTTCTGTTTTTCTGTAGCTTACCTGATATTCCTCACACATACCCCTCTGTGTCTGATAATCTAATCTGTTGTAAACTGTTGCATAAAATAATTGAAAGTCTCTTTAGGTAACTCAGTCTATCTTTTTTTTTGTTTTGGACATGCCATCCTCAGATGACCCTTTCCTCTGCTCTCTTCAAGAGGCATCTGTGGCTATGGCTGTACCCACTGAATCCAGGCTCAGGTAGTCTGGCCTCTAGCCCTCAGCCACAGGGTCTGCCTGTTTAATTTCACCACAGCAACATCCCTAGTAAACTTCCCCCAGCACTGTTATGTAATCTCTGCATGTCCTCCACAGGGGCCCAGAATGTCAGGACACCCAAGGAGAGTGGAGGAAAAATTGGGAGAACTAAATGTAGGCCTCCTTTGGCCTAACTGCAAAGGTCACTCTGATGGAGCCCATCAACGTTGGTGTGAGGGAAAGAGGGGCATCTGTGAGGCTCTCCCCACAGTCCCCAACTGGAAATGAGAAGGAAACTACTCTCCTCTCTGCTTTGCTTGTAACCAGCCACCCCTACCACCCTTCCAGGAATTCTCCTATTGAAAGGAGGGTCCACCTGTAACACCAATCCATGCCAGCTTTCTCCTAGTTCTGAAGTCCACCATGGGCCTACTTCTTCTCTCACTGTGGCCAACACTTTCCTGGCCCCATAGCTACTGCTTTTCCCAGGTGGCAGTGACTTGCCAGCCTTCCCTGGAGTGTCCGGTGAAATAACTTCTGAGTGTTATGAAATGCAAGAGAGAAAATGAAAACCATATTTATTTTTTCAGACGGAGTCTCGCTCTGTCGCCCAGACTAGAATGCAGTGGCTCAGTCTCGGCTCACTGCAAGCTCCGCCTCCCAGGTTCAAGAGATTCTCCAGCCTCAGCCTCCTGAGTAGCTGAGACTACAGGTGCACACCACCACACCCAGCTAATTTTTTTTTTTTTTTTTTTTTTAAGACGGAGTCTTGCTCAGTCGCCCAGGCTGGAATGCAGTGGCACAATCTCGGCTCACTGCAAGCTCCACCTCCCGGATTCACGCCATTCTCCTGCCTCAGCCTCCAGAGTAGCTGGGACTACAGGTGCCTGCCACCATGCCTGGCTAATTTTTTGTGTTTTTAGTAGAGACAGGGTTTCACCATGTTAGCCAGGATGGTCTCGATCTCCTGACCTTGTGATCCGCCTGCCTTGGCCTCCCAAAGGGCTGGGATTAACGCCCAGCTAATTTTTGTATTTTTGGTTGAGATGGGGTTTTGCCACATTGGCCAGGCTGGTCTTGAACTCCTGACCTTAGGTGATCCACCCACTTTGGCCTCCCAAAGTGCTTGATTACAGGCACGACCCACCGTGCCTGGCTGAAAACTATATTTAAAAATATTTTAAAATGTAATAAACATTAAGTATCAGGCACTATTCCAAGAGCTTTCCAGATATGAACTCACTTAACCCTATGACAATCTGAGGGTGGGGTTCTGTAATCAGACCCATTTTACTGACAAGGAAGCTGAGGCATAGCACAGCTAAATGATTTGCCCAAGGGCACAGAATTTTGGTTCAAACTTAGGCAAGATGGTTCTAGAATCTCTATTCTTAACCACTATGCTAAGCTGCCTCTACATTTTCTTTATATTTTTAAAACATTACTCCTACTTCAGCTGATAACTAAAAGGACATTATAATTGCCCATCATATTTTCCCACAGGCAGTAAACCAAGATGCCAAGTGAAGACTTCTCTATAGCATAGGGCAAAAATCCATGAAGCTAAATCCTGGTGTTCATGGTCTATGTTAATTTGAAAGCCAAAAACCCGTAAAACGCCATGTGGGGAGCTTCAAAAGAACTGCTGTCTTGGGAATTCTTACCAGCTTTGAAGACTTTGGGGAGGTGTGGTCTGTTTTTCCTTCTCTGAATTCTCCTCCCAGCCTCTAATCCAGAGCCTGTACATGTGGGTGAATTTGCACACACACACACCCACCAATGGCAAAAGCCTCTCCGGGATCCTTCCAGGATCCTTGGAGTCAGGGCTCTACAGGGCTATTTTAAAGTGTGATGGTCCACTGAAAATGTTGTCAAACAGCAAAGTACTAACCTTTTTGAATCACTAGGTCATATTTTAGAGACGACTGTGAGTTCTACCCCTGCAGGAACGTGACTTTTTCACACTGTATTTTCTCAAACAGGAGAGAAGAGAATTCCAACCAGTGAGATGAAAATTGCACAAATCCTGCAGCCCATCTCTGCCACAGCTCAAAGTAAGCAACTTTTACTGCTGTATTCTTAAATAGTCCCAAGGATCAAATTATGTCTCTGCTAAAACATTGTTAGGCCTAACTTCCTCACCAAGAATGTGGGCTTTGTTCTGACTGCCAGGTTGAGAGGGCGTTTCTTGAAAACTTTGGTTTCTTTGTAGGCACAGTATGTGTTCATTAGATATAAAAGCTGATGGATTAACTAATTCCTTTAGCCTTTCCAAAATAGAGGTTTCATGGAACTATCTAGGCCCATAACAAATGTTTCTGTGATGAAACAAACTCAGGAAACTGTATATTTTCTTTTTCCCTTAAAGCTTCACAGAATGCATCATCTCATTAAAAGCTCCAGAAACCCTACAAAGAAGAAACCTTACCTGGTATTCCCCAAACTGAGATTTGAAAGATTTCTACTGATTTGTAAAAGAGACTCTTATTCTGAGAATTTCTCATGGCTCTTAAAAAGAAGTCACCTTCCCATTGTATAGACTTAGAGACACAATTTGTACTTCTTTTTCGGATTGTTGGGTAAGTAATGACCCAGGCCATTGAAGAAAATGAGGAAACTGTGCACACAAACTGATGTCTTATGTGACCAACATGCAAAGAAGAAATGGAAGCTTTCCCCTATCTTTCCAGTGTTCAAAAATCCTACTGCTGAATTCACCTCCAATTCCATGAGATGATATAGAAAACCTCCATAAAGACCCCAGGTTACAATGTTTACAATTTATTCTGTACTCCTTTTCTCTGGCAATTGATGACTGCTATTATTAATGAAGACATTACAAGGAATAAAAGGGCTTGCCTGCCACTTCTCACCACAAAACTGTGTGGCATCAAACAGAATGAAATCCTTCTGACACTGACAGCTGGAGAAAACCTTGTCACCACAGTGAGTGTCAAGTGTGGTGTGACATCTTTGTGTGTTTCCTTTGCACCTAATAACTTCGTTGCCAATACAGACCAAAATAATGAAAGAAAACCTGCTTTTGCCCGCCCAAAGGATTAACTGTACTGTTGAGAAAACTGCAGGAATATTTGACATGAGATCACAATTTTTAATTCTTTTCCCCCCAGGATTCTGTATGAAGTATTTTTCTATCAAGGATTTAAATAGAATTACTTTTCCTCACATTGGTCATGGAGAGAATTAAGACATTAACTGTTGATCCAATTTATACTGCCATTTGATCCCATAAGTGCTATACAGGACTCGGTTACTCATGGAAAATAGCTCCTGCCAGATCAAACACTCTCAGGGCCAAAGTCACAAGATTCTGACTTTACATGCTCTGTTCTGCCTCCTTTCATTTTGCCTCTTGGATTGTCATGAACTTCCCGAGCAAGGAGGCCATCCACCATGTAGCGTAATGTCTTGCTAAGAGAAATTAGTATTCAGTCTGCTCAGGTTCCAGCAAAGACTTTCTTTATGAAGCTCTTCAAGTGGAATCGAGGTAGGAACTGTTATCCTTTTCAACCCTTGTCCTATTCATTCACACCTTGGAACAAAAACAGAAAGCTGAACTCTGTGGAGGGGAAAATTGATACCACATGGTTTCTGGTGTATCTGCAACTTTTGGCTCTCCTTTGGAAAAGGATATGTGTGTCATGCACACGTGTCTATTTCATCCTCATATCTGACAAATACCTTTGTGAATTGCCTTGCGGACTATTTGGATGTTAGTGTAGGTTACAAATTTCTAGAAGGCTGGGAGATGTCCTTAAGTCTCGTAGGTCATGAACACTAGAAGTTTCGGATAAAAGGTGTCATTTTCAGATGAGTATGAGGAATACTTTATTTTCAGCCCTCTCTTTTAAGAGGCGTAAAATCCTTTAGTGCTGAAAACACTTGTACTACCGATAATGAAGAATTATATTTAATTTTAACTCAGTATGTTCCTAACTTGACTATGGAATTAAAAGTTCTTGTAAGATTCCACAGACCAGGTAAGACTTAAAGATTTGCCAACATTCAAAACCTATGAAAAATAACCCATTACTGGGCAGCTAAGTAATCTCCCTCCTAATTTATCTGGCTCTATTTTCTTGTCTCTACCATCACCAACAGCATCTTTCTAATCTCTCACTCAGATCTTCTCATTCCTCCATTCATTAGAACACTGGTTCATTTCTTCAATAAACATGCCAAATAGGAGTGGCTCAAACAAGATGGCAAGTTTTTTCTGATGTGACAGTCTGTATGTTTGCAGTCCAGCACCTGAATGGTAACAGCAAGAGGACAGAGGCTCCAGGTCCCTCTTTAGTGCCCTGCCATGTGTAGGGTGTTTCCCATCCAAATGTTCCAAGATGTCTTACCACTATGCCTGTATTCCAGGCAATGGGAAGGAGGGAAGGGGAAGGAGAGAGAATTTTCCTTCCTTGCAAGAGCATCATCTGCAAGTTGTGTTTCTGCTCACCCTCCATTGACCAAAGCTTTATTGCTTGACCAGAGCTAGCTGCAAGGGAGGCTAGGAGATATTGTTTTTGTCAATCTGGTAGCCTTTATCACACTACAATTTTTATGTTAGAGGAAAGAGAAAGAACATTTATTAGGGAATAGCTAACCATGTCTGCTACACCTATGACCTTCCATTTGGCTCTTACAATGATTTTGTGAAGTGAGAATTTTTATCCCAAGTTTTCCACTGAAAAAAGTAAAGCTCATAAAGCTGAAATAATTGTAATATTGTCATCATGTTAAGAATGATGAAGGGTATTAAATTTTATCTGCTTCCAAGCTAACAAGGGAGCCGCCACAATTGCGTGGATTCTTACAGAAGACACAGACTCCTGACTCAGACACAGAGGACCTTATCACTCATGGCACAGGAAGCAGCAACAGCTCCAATATTCATGTTGGTTCTTCTTGTCCTCCAAATCCTGTGGGGCATTAGGAGGTGGCCAAGGTAGATGCTGCACATGCAGTCGGTTTGCACCAAGCTTAGGAAACTACAAGCTTTTAGAGAGGCTGTCAGGAAACCTGCCCTACTTTTTCCTTAGGAGGAAAACTTTTTTTGGTATCCTAGTAAAGAAACAAATCTCTCTGCTCAAGAGAGACACATTGCCTCTAAGCTCCAAGAAGTTCACCATACAAATATTCTTGGAAGGCAGTCCCAAATAAAAGTCTCTTTGTTGACAAGGCTTGCAGAAACATGAGAGACCCGTGGACATTTTTTCCCAACACACAGATAGTCTTGCTATTTTCATTACAATAAATGCACTTCTACAAGAAGTCTACCACGTACACTCACCATGCCTCCATCAGGGCAGTTCTCACTTTTTATTGTAACTGTTTACACCTCTGGATCTCCATATTGGAATATCAATTCCTTGAAGGCAGGGGCTATGGCTTTTGCTTTTATATCCCTAGCACCTAACACATTACTTGGAATATGGAGCATGTTCAACAACTATTTTGAAGTACATTAGAATAAGATTTACTTAAGGGATAGAACAAATCAGCAAGCATTACATGTTATTGAATCCACTTGAGATTCTCTTTGCATGGATCCTAGGGTAGGTGGCTAATTTTTATGATTCTGGCCTCAAATACCACTTCCCTGACCACTGTATTTAAAATATCATTCTAGATAAGTCTAATGATAAGCACTTGTCACTACCTGATACTATTCTGCTTGTTTATTTAGGTATCTGACTCCCCTTCTAGAATAGAAACTCATGACTTCAAGGACTTGCCTATCAAGTTCATGACTATATTGCTATACTCTAAAATAGTGTCAGGCCTAAAATAGAAGTTTCGTAAGTATTTTTGAATGAATAAGTGAATGAGTAAATTCAGCAAACATTCACTAAGTTTATACCATCTGCTAGGAACAAAATGTTTTACCGTGTCACAGTGGCCCACAAAGAATACTGTTACTTTGGGCAACTGAAATAATTCCATATCTGGGTTAAGTTGAGTGGCAGCATCACTTTTGTTGGGGTAATGAGCTTCCATTCTTCACTACAGGTATTCCACTGCTGGCTTGAACTGGGTCCTGAGCACTGCCCTTTCCTGGTCTTGCTGGCAAAGGCATCCTGTGCCAGCAGGCAGCTTCATTGCCTTCCTCTCCTCTCTGAGTCCCTAGGTAGCCATCCTGCTTATCAGGTATCCACAGTTCTGGTAAGGTAGCCTCAGGGAGCCATCTGATTGGCTCTGTGGGCCCCACACCTCCAAGGACCCCATGCCCTTCATATGATGCTTAACCCTTTGTTTATCCTCATTCTCACCTGGGCAGCAGGTAGCTATCAGACCCTCTCTCACCTTTCCTTTACTCTTCTTCCACCTCTGTTTGATCTCCTGTAGCAGCCTTGCCCATAAAGTCTTTCCTGTGGCTTCACTGAGAAATTCGATTAAGTATTCCAATACTGCTCTGAAACAAAGTGATCCAATTCAGGTGAGGTAATTTGTCTTGCAAGGTGTATCAATAATCATTTTATTCATTATTTACCCATTTCCAAAAATGATGTGAAGTGGGAAAATATCAATGTTGAACAACAAAAGTAGTAAACTCTCTTTGGGGGGAAGATCATTATAATTTGTTTAAATGCTGACAAATATTGATATCAATGGTGAACATGGAGTTGGGGCATGAGGGAAATTAACAGAGGGCAATTGCTATGATATTTTTCAAGCCATCATTGATTCAAAATGAATGAGAGTAGAGTTTTGCATGGAAAATTAAAGGCCTAATATTAAAAATAATTAAGCATTTTCTCATTTTCATAGATGAAGAAATTACCTCAGAGAAGTCAAATAATTTACCCAGAGTCACAAAATAAGCAAATGACGGAATATTCAAATCCAGGTCTTCTGACTCTACCTCCATTACATTGTCTGCCTTAGAGGTTTCCGAAGTATTGGTAAGATGGAGGCTGGAAGAGCTTGAAACAGACCATATAAAGCCAGGTCTGAGTTGGAAAAGCAAAAAGGCCCAAGGAACAGCACAGACTCTGACCAGTGGGGTATCTTTGTATTTTAAATAACAAATACAACAAAGATTCAAGTTGCACATGCACCTAGATGTTTCCATTATTGATCTATATATATATATGCCAATTTAAAATATTTAAATGGAAAACAATCTGTGTCCACTTTATTGTATAACTATGCTAGTTACAGGAATCGTCTCAGTACCAGTTATGTATCACTCATGTCAAAGAACCAGGGTCAGAAAAAAAAATCTCCAGTAAAGATCCTTGCAACTCAGAAACACTCTTTCTTCTGGATATTGCTATGAATTAGAGTTCAAAGAAAGCATTTTTAAAAGAAATATGATTTATTTGCTCCTCATGATAAACAATCAAAACATCACATTGTACCCCATAAATATATGCAATTATTTGGTTAACTGAAAATAAAATTTAAAAAGAAATAGAACGAACCTAAGTTAAACCCTGAGTTAAATGACTTTTTAACAAAATTCAATGAATTTAGTTTAAGTTCATGTTTGCCTATGTAATGAATAGAGTATTATTTATGATAACATCCAGAAGAACAGTTCTCAGGGGTTGGCTTCATTACAGTATGTTAATTTAAATTAATTCACCACTATTCCCTACAGTTAGTCTTCCCCTGAAGATTTTCTCACACACACACACACCCCCACACCACCTTCCAGAAATGTAAGAAATATCTTTACCCTCATCCTATCCTATCTTTAAGATGCCAACTTCTAGCTTTGCAGGTAGGAAGGATTAAAACATGAGAAAGAAAAGTAGGCCTAACTTGTCATGAAAGTAAAATATATGGTCAAAGCCCATACCAAATGATAATGCCTGTATTTTTCCAGATACGAAGTTCCTCTTTTTTTGCTCTTAAATGGGTTGAGAAATTGTGTTAGGTAGTTGGGGGAAAAAGCATTTGGGGCCCTGAGGTTGTCACGACGGTGTTTTTGCTACTAGAAAATACATGTCTCAATGGTGAATATTTTTAAAAAGGTACCATTTCAATTTAAGTAGACCCTTAAAAATAATAGAGGCTCATCAACAGGTGGCATAAAGAGAGGAACAACAAACACTGGGGCCTACTTGAGAATGAAGGATGGGAGAGGGAGAGGATCAGAAAGAATAACTATTGGGTACCAGGCTTAGTACCTGGGTGAAAAAATAATCTGTATAACAAGCCCCCATGAGACAAGTTTACCCATATAATAAACCTGCACATTTACCCTTGAACCTAAAATAAAAACAAACAAAAAAACCCCTAGAGGCTCACCTGCTTCCATTCCACGTGAAATGTCGAAATTTGTATTCTTTTCTCCCACTTAAGGAAAGTCTGGCGTAAAAAATCCAGAGTCCACTCTAGCATTTTTGTCATGTGTTCTAATAATGCATTTTTCACACCAGCAAAATCATAGAAAGTGTGGTGAAATACTGTTTTAAGTGACAGCCATCCTTCACCTGGTATGAAATGACCGTGCTAGATTCTGTTTCACAGCCAAAAATCATGATTATTGCACCGTGTGTATGGGGTTAACCTTGATTATTCTTATTCACCACACCAAGAAATTACTCCAAACCTAAACTGATCCAATTAATAAGACTGCAATTAAAACCAAGAAAAAAATATAAACTTATTTTCTAGTTCTCAGAAAATATATGAGAAGGAAAATTGACTCCAGAGACACAAATGGCCTAATGGAATAATTAAAATTATAATTAAATAATACCAAGTCATCCCAGGCCTACTTAGCTCTATAACTCCCTCCAGGATTATTGTGTCATTAGGGGAGGGAGGATGAAGAAATCACTTTTCAGGATTTCTCAGTGTAAGAGAGTTCTCCAGACTTTCAGAGCCTGAGAAGAGACCAAGAAATAAATAAATATCAGGACAGATGAAGCTGACATTACACCCCTGCCCAGTCATTTCTACTTTACCATTGATAGCTGTGTGGCCAAGGAAATTGACCTTGCACTTTTTATCTTTAATTTCCTCATCTCTAAAATTTCTGGGACAATAGCAACATGAATCACAGAGCTGCTATGAAGATTAACTATAACCATGTATAGTAAGTGCTATGGGCACTTATTCGGTATTGGATATCACTATTAATATGAGGAAGAGGAAGACATCAAATGGTGTAAAGAGTATTCCAGAACAGCTAAAGACGGTGACAAAATAGTGAATGCACTGAGTCAGGTGTTAATGGTAGGAGAGTTTCTGGAGAGTCGGAATTGCAAATTAGAAAAGCCTCCCTGTAAACTGAATGTGGGACTCTGGGAATGGAGGGAGGAGGTGAAGCCTCAAGCAACTTTCTCTGTCTCCCATTAAGTGCAGACCCCAGAAAGTCTATCACTGATAAGGAGTGGGGCAATGAAAATGGGGAGAAGCCTAGTAAGGAAAAGGGTTCCCTTTCCATAGGCCACATAATCTGTTCTCCCAGCTTAGCAAGTGACCCAAGGTTGGCCAGGTGTGGTGGCTCATGCCTGTAATCCCAGTACTTTGGGAGGCTGAGGTTGGCAGGTTACCTGAGGTCAGGAGTTCAAGACCAGCCTGGCCAACATGGTGAAATCCCATCTCTACTTAAAATACAAAAATTAACCAGATGTGGTGGTGTGCACCTGTAATCCCAGCTACTTGGGAGACTGAGGCAGGAGAATTGCTTGAACCTAGGAGGTGAAGGTTTCAGTGAGCTGAGACCGTACCACTCCAGCCTGGGCAACAAGAGTGAGACTATGTCTCACACACACAAAAAGAGTGACCCAAGGTCTCTAGCTTTCTATTTCTTTAAATTATTGTTTAAAAATCATTAGTGAAAAACTACCGAGGCTGGCACGGTGGCTCACGCCTGTAATCCCAGCACTCTGGGAGGCCGAGGTGGGTGGATCACGAGGTCAGGAGATCGAGACTATTCTGGTTAACATGGTGAAACCCCTTCTGTATTAAAAATACAAAAAAAAATTGGTCAGGCAAGGTGGCGGGTGCCTGTAGTCCCAGCTAATCGTGAGGCTGAGACAGGAGAATGGCGTGAACCCGGGAGGCGGACGTTGCAGTGAGCCGAGATCGCACCACTGCACTCCAGCCTGGGTGACAGAGCGAGATTCCCAGTCAAAGAGAAAAAAAAAAAAAAAAAAAAAAGAAAGAAAAAAAACTACCTGTTTGGTACAATATATACTACTTGGGTAAAAGGTGCAATAAAATCCTATACTTTACCACTGTATAATTCATTCATGTAACCAAAACCTCTTGTACCACTAAAGCTATTGAAATATAAATTTTTTAAAATAAAAAATAAAACAAATAAAAATCATTAGCTACCACACTGATTAGGATAGCTAACCACAATGATAGAAAATAACAAGTGCTGGCAAGGATGTGGAGAAACAGGACCCCTCCTACCCTGCTGGTGGGAATGTAAAATTGGCAGCCTCTTTGTAGCACAGGTTGGCAATTCTTCAAAAGGTTAAACATGGAGTTACCATATAACTCAACAAATCTACTCCTAGGCATCAACCCAAGGTCACTGAAAACAGATTTCCACACAAAACCTTGTACAAGCATGTCCACAGAAGCATTACACATAACAGCCCCAACTCAAATGTCTATCATTGATGAGTAGATAAACAAAACCTAGTATATCCATACAATGGAATAGTATTTAGCCATAAAAGGGAATGAAGTACTCACCTTAAAAACATTATGCTAAGTGAAAAAAGCTAGTTATAAAAGGCCACATATGGTATGATTCAGTTACATGAAATGTCCAGAAAAGGCAAATCCATAGAGATAGAAAGTAGATTAATGGTTGCCAGGGGCTGGGGAAGGAAGGGTTGGGGATTGTTTGCTAATGTGTATGTGATTTCTTTTTGAAGTGATTAAAATGTTCTGAAATTAGATAGTGATTATGGTTGCACAACTGTGAATATATTAAAAATCATGGTGTGTGCTTTAAAAAGGCGAATTGTGAATTAGATGTCCAAAAAGTATGAGGAAAAAAATCAGTATCCCATTTAACAAATTATATTAAACTAAATTGAAGGCAAATAAAAGCCAAAGTTTTACAAATGGTTTAGTGAGCCTACATAAGTCATTCATTCCTGTTTCCTAATTTTCCTCAACGGGAGGAAGAACAGAACCACACTTGCCACCTACATTTGTGATAAGACCTGAGTACATTTTTAAAATGTCTGTGTTTTTCAACCAAAGGTTATATACAAATACTAGGTGTTATTATGAAACTGGCAACACTGAACACTGGGTAACTTTAAATAGAGTCACCATGTGGCAGTTGAGTCTTAAACATATGCACTGGTGTTCATTTCTCACAGCAACTGAGTGGCCCACTGGATGTACTGTGGCTCTGAGTGGGTCACCCGTGGGGGCAAAGCTTGGGATACACACACACACAGTTTTCAGATTCAAGCCCTAGTTGATTCCTCTAGTTATCATGGTGTCCAGAATATTAAGTTCTGTTTTC